CGCCCCCCGCGAGCCAAGACCCTACCAAGCCCAGCCCAGTCCAGGTCCCGCCCTCCGAAGCCCCGCCCCCCCAGCGAGCCAAGACCCTATCAAGCCCAGCCCCAGTGCAGGCCCCGCCCCTGGGCGGCCAAAGCCCCGCCCAGATCCCCGCCCCTACCGACTGCTGCAGCTGTTGCGGAGCCCAGCCCCGCTCCGCGCGCGCGCAGGTGGGGCCCCGCCCCCGTCCCCCCCTAGCCACGCCCCTCCGGCCTAGCTCCCGAGCGCGGCGAGGGGGAAGTCGGGTTCGAGGGCCACCCCTGCTGGGACGGTGCTCAGGCGTGCTTCCTCCCGCAGCCTCCCGGAAATTGCAAATTCCTCAGTGACCCTCCTGTCCCCCCGCGACTGGGACCGAAGTTTTGGAGAGGGCGGGAATGCAACGGAGAACTTTTTGCACTTTCTCCATGGGGCTCGTCCTTGGTGGAGACGGTAGACCTACCGGCGTGCAGCGCGTCCCTCCCTGACCGTTATAAGTTAGCAGAGGTGGGTGGGGAAAGAGCGACCGGGGCTTATTCGAAATAAAACACCCTCTCTTGTTGGACCTCGGGCCGTACGGCTTTCCCGCCCCCCGTGGCGAAGGCGCATCCCAAACGTGAGTGGCTAAAGTCGTTGAGGTTTCAGAGGACGGACAAATCCCAGGATCACAGAACAATCCAATGCTTTTAGTTAAATGTACACTGCAAATGTCGCCTTCCGCTAGCAGCCCTTACTTACACGGTCACCTACAAGGGGCGAGTTAAATTGTGGGGGCAAGTTGATTAGACCCTTCTGTCCGCCCACACACCAGCTTCCCTTTGAAAAATAAAAAATCCTTGCAATCAGCTAAACTTTTAAAATGCGGCATTTTCTTTGCTTACGGTCACCTGAGGGTCGGTCGTTTTCACCTTGATGTGCCGGGAGTGACTCTCCTTGCAGAGACCTCGAAGGGAAAGGGGGTTTTGAAACTTCAAGAGAAGGGGAAAAAAAAATGGTGCCTGCGTCGTCCCTTCTACCCCTCCGGCGGAAAGGAGACCGGCTAATCCGGGCTTACTCACATGCCTAGTTTGCAAGATTCTCACTCCGGGGAACTCAACCCCAGAGGGACCTCAGAGTCACAGCCTGTTTGTTGCAAAGGCTTTCCATGAAGACTTCTTCCCAGCCACGGAACGACTGGGTAGCTGGAGAGCAGAGCCTAACTTTCTTGTTTCATTGGGTAGAAGCTGGCTCCTTGGGTATTTTTCACATAGCCAAATGTAAGAGAAGAGGACAATTACTTAATGCAAGATTTTTCTTGTTTGACTCTTACATCACTCAAATATTACCATATCGCAACAACAGTGTCTTCATTAAATACTCCAGTTGGAGTAATGGGTGTGTTAAATAATTTAGCGAGCTTATGTTATTATAAATTGAAAGGGTGGAGTCCCTTAGCCAGAACAAATTACTCCATCGATGACTGTTTTGAGGAAAAATATGCTCAAAGTACTTTATAATCTACCACACCAGAAAATAAAATGATGTTTTGAGCCTTAGCACGTGGTCACTGGTGCAGAGGCAGAAGCAGGCAAACCTCTGAGTTTGAGGCTAGCCTGGTCTACATAGCAAGTTCCATGCCACGTAGAGCACATAGAGAAACCCTATCTGAAAACAGAAAAGATTTTTCATGTTGTTTTTGAGCGGAAATGACTGGATAGAGTTTTATAGCTGTCAGCATTCTCATCAGAATCACTTGGGGTTGGTTTGTTGTTCTTGTTGTTTTGTTTGTTTGTTTTTTCAAAAGAAGGTTTCTCTGTGTAGCCCTGGCTGTCCTGGAACGTAGACCAGGCTGGCCTTGAACTTAGAGATCCACCTGCCTCGGCCTCCTGAGTGCTAGGATTAAAAGTAGGTGCCACCATCTTCGGACAAGGTGACTCTTTTTTGATTTTTAAACTTGATTAGTGTTTGTGTGTGTAGGCATTCCTGCCATGGCGTGCCTGTGGAAATCGGAGACAGCTTTGTGACGGCAGCCCTAGCCTCCTAACTCAGACAGCTGGGACTGTACCACAGGCACCTTTTGCTGGCCTAGCCATTCACTAGCCCTAAAAGAGTCACTTCTAAAAAAAAAAAGTCATGACTGGGGTAAGGTGTAGTCTAGGGGTAGAACATCTCCATAAATGGGGCCCTATGGTTTTGTTGCCCAGCCCTGAAGATTTAAAAAGATAAAAATAAAGTCACTGATTTCAAGCAACAAAAAGCAAAAGCTGCATAATTATCATATTTCTTTTTTCTTTCTTTCTTTCTTTTTTTCTTTCTTTTTTTTTTGTTTGTTTGTTTGTTTGTTTGTTTTTTTGAGACAGGGTTTCTCTGTGTAGCTTTGCGCCTTTCCTGAAACTCACAGAGATCCACCTGGCTCTGCCTCCTGAGTACTGGGATTAAAGGCATGCGCCACCGCCGCTCGGCTAATTATCATATTTCTGTATTTTTCACATAGCGGTTTTTTTTTTTTTGTGTGTGTGTGTGTGTGTGTGTTTGAGACAGAGTTTCTCTGTGTAGCCCTGGCTGTCCTGGAATTCACTCTGTAGACCAGGCTGGCCTGGAACTCAGAGATCCACCTGCCTCTGCCTCCTGAATGCTGAGATTAAAGGAGTGTGCCACCATACCACAGCTAACATAGCCACATTTTTAATGAAAGCTGAATTTAAGTTTTGACTCACAAAATCAGAATTTGTGAAAACTCAAAATGCCTTGTTAAGCAGTTAGACATTTTTAGCATTTAAAATTCAGAGAATAAATAACATAGAACAGACTCAGGCAAGCTCAGTTTTGAAAGGACTTATTGTCAGACACAGACCTGAATTTCTAAGTGGACTGAATCAATCACCATACATTTCCCACTGATATAGGAGCCTATTGGTTCCGATTTTCATTAAATGCCTACTAACCTTTTCTTTCCATGTTAATTGGGGAACAAGCTGAAAGGTTAGTAAATGTATACAAAGTAGCTTTATCAGAGCAGCAAGAAAAGGAATACAGACCATATTCTACAAATAGACATGGAGGCTAGAGAGCTAGTCCTGTCCATGTGCAGGGGGGGGGGGACGACGACGACAGGACATGGATGAGTGTTGGGAACTCCTATCTAAAGAGTAACAGGTCATCAGTAACAGAGGTCTTGCTCAGTGGTAGAGCACTTTCCTATCTGTGCGCAAGGCCCTGGGTTCAATCCCCAGCCTTGAAAAAAGAAAATGTAAAAGCGTAACAAACACAGAAAAGTCACTCTTCTAGAATGGTTTTGTTTTTCACCAGATTTGGAGCAAAGGGTGGATAAATCTTTGACCTCTTGGTGAAAAGTACTTGTTTGGTTACTGAGAGCAGAGAACAGAGTTAAATCATAGGAAACTCCAAACAAATAAACAAGGAGGTCCTTTTTTTTTTTCCACTCCTGAAATGAGCCAACATATTGTGAGGCAGGTCATGAAACACATGCATGATCTAAGCACATTTTTGTACCTGTAACGACAGGTGACGTTCTTACTGTGTGCTAAGGCGTAAGATAAAGTATCACAGATTCATCCTAAAGGTCACACTGACAGATGACCATTGCACTGGAGCCTGTGTGACATGGAAAAGGTATGACCTTGTGGGGCAGGCAGACCTGGGCCGGAATGACAACCCTCTTGCTTATTCTTTTGCTTCAGCTTTTTTTTTTTTTTTTTTTTTTTTTGAGACAAGGTTTCTCTGTGTAACCCTGGCTGTCTTGGATCTCGCTCTGTAGACCAGACTGGCCTCGAACTCACAGAGATCCTCCTGCCTCTGCCTCCCCAGTGCTGGGATTAAAGGTGTGTGCCACCACAGCCCAGCTCATCTTATTTTTTTTATTTTATGTGTTTGGGTGTTTTTCTGTATGTCTATTCAGTTATGTGAGTGCCTCAAGCCCAAGGAGGAAAGGTGTCAGATCCCCTGGAACACAGTTACAAACAATTGTGAGCCAACGTGTGGGGGCCGGGATTTGAACCCAAACACAGTTCTCTCTAGCCAGTGCTCTTAATTGCTAAGCCATCTCTCTGGTCCCTGTTGCTTCTTCTTTTATGACATTTTCCCTCCTTGAGACAGGGTCTCAAGCTCTGGAACTCACTATGTAGACCAGGCCTCGAACTCACAGAGGTCAGTCCGCCTCTGCCTCCTGAGCATTGGGATTCAAGGTGCAGGTCTGTTCCTGGTTCTTGTATGCCTTGTGAGTAGCTACTCTGAAACAGGTTTGTCCTCAGGAAAATGGGAATAACAGAATAACAACGTTCCCATTTTATTCTCTTTGGGTTACTATAAGGAGTAAGTGAGAGAAGACACCTAAAGCCCTTGACATAGAACGGGGTGAGGCAACTATGAGTCTTTTTACCCTAAAAATTGGACCTTGATGCAGACTTTAGCATCTTTCACCCGCCTCTTTGATCACTAAATGTTTTAGCCCGAGAATCCTCCCTGGATAAAAGGGTCAGCGGCAGCTCAGGGGTGAGGCTTAATGTTCAGTCTGTTGTGGTTGCCTCTGTGCTGGCTGGTTTTGTGTGCCAACATGACACAAGCTGGAGTCATCAGAGAGGAAGGAGCCTCAGCTGAGTAATGGCCTCCCTGAGATCCAGCTGTACGGCATTTCCTCAATTAGTGAGGGATGGGGGAGGGCCCAGCCCATGGTGGGTGGGGTCACCCCTGGGCTGGTGGTCCTGGGTTCTATCAGAAAGCAGGCTGAACAAGGCATGGGAAGCAAGCTAGTTAGCAGGACCCCTCCGTGGCCTCTGCATCAGCTCCCGCCTCCAGGTTCTTGTCCTGCTAGAGTTCCTGTTCTGACTTCCTTCAGTGATGAACAGTGATGTGGAAGTGTGAGCCAAATAAACCCTTTCCTCCCCAGCTTGCTTTTTGGTCATGGTGTCTCATTGTAGCAATAGAAGCCCTGACTAAGACACCTTCCCCTACCACAGACAGCTTTCAGTGTGGGCCGATCTCACACAGCCACCTATTGAGACACTACCTCGGGAGAGAAATCTTGCTGGGTGGCTTTTTGGAACCATTTCATCACCTTGAAAAAAAGGCATCCCTCTGGACTTCACACACTTAATGTGGCACCTGGGAATTCTGGAGCCAAATTATGGACCCAAGGGACACCCTGAATCTGGCAAAGCTGAACGATGAAAGGGACTTCTTGGGTCTTGGAATTAACCAGCTTTGAAGCTGCCCTACTTAAGACTTGTTATGTGAGACAATGTTTTCTTAGCTTGGCAGGGTAGCATACACCCATAGTCCCAGCCACTCAAAAGGCCCTTGGGGCAGGAGGATTGCTTAAGCCCAGGAGTTTATAGCCTAGATGGGCCAATGTAATGAGAACCTCATCTTAAGATAAATAAAGAAAAAAAAATGGCGCGCTAAAATTTCTCTTAAAAATTCTCAGGGAGGGGATAGGGAGGTCCTTCGGCAGTCAGGAATCCTTGCTACTCTTGGAAAGAACACAATCTCTAAACCCAGCACCTACGTCAAACCATTCACAACTGCCTGTAACTCCAGCTCCGGGGATCTGATGCCTCTGGTCTCCACAGGCACCCACACATATACACGTACACAGAGAGACACATACACACAGAGACACCTACATAAATACAAATAATTTTAAATCTTTTTTTTTTAACTCTAGGAGAGAGCTGGGTATGGTGGCACACCCCTCTTCTAGCAGCACTCTGAGGCAGGGGCAGGAAGATCACCAAGTCTGAGGCAAGCATTGTCTACACACTGAGTTCCAGGCCGATCAGGACTGGGTAGCAATTCCTGTCTCAACAAAGAGACAACACAACAATTTCCAGTACAGTCAGAACTAAAAAGAAAGAGTGTGGATAAGAGCATGTACTGTTTTCGAAGAGGACCTGAGGACAGTCCCCAGCACCCACATCAGGTAGCTCACAGCTGCCAGTAATCACAGCTCCAGGGGAGGGAACTCTTTTCTGGCCTCCAGAGACACCTACCCTCACATGTACATACCTCCACCACACATACATGCACATATAGCTAAATATAAAAATAAATCTTTTTTTTTTTTTCCCATGGACGTGGATTACTTCAAGGCCAGAAGAAAATCATTTAGGGTAGCCTTTCTGGCCGTCAGTGTCGCCTGTTTGGTTCAGTCCCTGTGATCATGGCTGTCACTTTGGTAACTTCCATTTCGTTCACGACAAGAAAAAAGATGAAGCCATACAACTGAAAGGCAGAACGTTTGGTGGCTAA